ACTTTTAATCAATCAAAACGGAAACCATTCTACAATGGAATATCAGGAGCATAGTTCATAAAAAAAATGAACTATGCTATCTGATTAATAAACACGAACCATCAATAGTCGTAATATCTGAAACATGGCTTAAGCCGTTAACGCCTTTTTATATTCCACAATACGCCACTTTAAGGCACGACCGCCCGGATGGATGGGACGGCGTGGCCCTATTAATCAGAAATTGCGTAAAATATATTCAAATCTCTTTACCGTCAATTGAGAATGTTTATATGCTAGCTGCCACTGTGATTTTCAAATCTAAAACTATTACATTACTTTCTATCTATATACCGCATCCTACTATTTCTATCATAACTGAACTTAGTAGTATAATTAACTCCCTTCCACCCCCAATTGTTATAGTCGGCGATTTTAATTGCCACAATACTCTGTGGGGTTCATACCGAAATGATAGACCAGGAGAAAAACTCTGTCAAATACTAGATGACGGTGATCTAGTTATTTTAAATGATGGCCGACCCACGCGTAAATCTGCTCCTCTTCAAAATCCTTTCGCGGTCGACTTGTCCATTTGTTCACGCTCTCTTGCACCTCTTTTATCATGGGACATAGACCAACACACTTATTGTAGTGATCATGCCCCCATTAAAATTTCTTTCCCCTCTTTTGGAAAAACTATGAGCCCTCCTTCTCTTTTTAAATATCGATTGAATGCGGCTGATTGGAGTGGCTTCCGAACCTGTGTGGAAAATGAAATAAGTTTAAAAGAAAGCGTCACCAATGCACTCGAATGTTATGAGAATTTTGTCGATGTTCTACATTCTGCTAGCTCAACCAACATTCCATTTAAAAATATATCATCCAGAAAAATTCCCTCTCCTCCATGGTGGGATCAACAATGTACGGAGGTAGTCAAAGCAAGAAAATATGCTGAATTAAATTTCAATAAAAATATGACATTAGAAAATTATATCTCATTCCGTAAAATTGAAGCCAAAAGTAAAAGACTGCTAAATAGGAAGAAACGCACGGGCTGGCAATCTTTTTGCCAAAACGTTTCACCATCTACGCATCCAACTGTAATGTGGAACATGATAAGAAGATACAAATTTAGCAAACTAGCCATCCCATCGCCTAAAACAAACTTATATAGCTGGACCAAAGAATTTTGCAATAAGCTAGCCCCAGCTTATGTGCCTTGGTTTTCTGAACTCCCCATGTCCTATAATTTTACCCACTCTACTGATCTAGATGTTCCGTTTTCTATTGCAGAACTAAAAATGGTATTAGGCAATTTAAAAGATTCTATCACTGGATTAGACGGTATCCCTTATTCCTTTGTAAAAGAATGCCCAGATAATGCTCTTTATCATCTAACTATTATAAATTCATTTTTTGACACCGGTTCCATCCCGCCATCTTGGAAACACCAAATTATCCTCCCAGTCCTAAAACCTTCAAAAGACCCACTACTATCATCATCATATAGACCCATAGCCCTTTCCTCAACATTATGTAAAATCACAGAACATCTTCTGAAAAATAGATTGGACTGGTTTGTAGAGAGTCAAGNGAAACACCAAATTATCCTCCCAGTCCTAAAACCTTCAAAAGACCCACTACTATCATCATCATATAGACCCATAGCCCTTTCCTCAACATTATGTAAAATCACAGAACATCTTCTGAAAAATAGATTGGACTGGTTTGTAGAGAGTCAAGGTATCCTCTCTCCCAGCCAATTAGGGTTTAGAAAAGGTAAAAGTGTTATGGACTGCCACGTGCTTCTAATATCTGACATCCAGATTGCATTTTCTAATAAACACTCGGTCATACCAGTTTTCTTAGATATAGAATCGGCCTACGACAACGTACTAATTTCGGTGCTCAGGAACAAACTGTTCAAGCTGAGCATTCCCTGTAAAGTAGTACAATTTATATGCAATTTACTGGTAGAACGTAAGATCAGTTTTCGTATAGATGGCCACTTATCTACAGAAAGAACTGTGTGGAAGGGACTCCCTCAGGGTTCAGTTATAAGCCCATTATTATTTAATATTTATACTTCGAATATAGGCTCCGCTCTCACAAATCGCTGTGAAATTATTCAATACGCAGATGATATCTGCATCTATCGTGTGCACGAAAATATCAATGAGGGTTCACTTGATATAAATGCTTGTTTGGACTCTGTTGGCAACTGGTTATTACCACGGCTTTGACGTAGCTCCAATAAAGAGTCAAGTAGTATTATTTTCAAGAAAGCGTTCTCCCCCTAATATAAACATCGTATATCAAGGATATAGTATTCCACTAGTAACAGAGGCAACATTTCTGGGTTTAATACTAGACGCCAAGCTTACGGGTTCGGCACACGTCGATAACACAGTCAAAAAATGTGAAGAAAACATCAATGTGCTACGCGCACTATCTGGTACATGGTGGGGTGCCCATCCCTATAGTCAAAAACTCCTTTATAATGCTCTAGTTCGCAGTATTATAGATTTCGGCTCAATTTTCCTGCAGACCTCAACTAAAAGTATTCTGTCTCGATTAGACTCAGTTCAGTTCAAAGCCTTAAGAATAGTGCTGGGTGCAATGAAATCCTCCCTAACTCGAGCCCTACAGGTCGAAAGTGCAGAGCCGCCCTTAAGCCTGAGACGACAGTATCTTTCAGATCGATATACTCTCCGTTTAGCTTAAATACACCCTAATGCTATTATATCAAAATTATCTGCTCTTCAAAATTGTATGACTTCAAACTTCTGGAATAGTAGGGAACAGCCCTGTCTCATTAAAAGTGTTAATTATATTGATAGCTTCCAATCTCCCTTAATTCAATCCGACACCCTCCCAATTTACAAAATATCATTTAAGGCCCTCTGCCATTCCCCCACAGTTTATCTAAACATAGGTTTAGAAAAAAACACAAAAAACGCCAACTTAAAATTTTTAAACATGATAGAAGAAAAATGGCCACCGTGGAATTTATTTTTCACCGATGCCTCGAAATTAGTTTCGAATGGTCTGGTGCTGCCTTCTATCACCCAAATGCAAATCATTACAAATTGCACAAACTACCCCCAGAAACCTCAGTATTCACGGGCGAGTGTATTGCATTGATAAGTTGTCTAAAGTTCATCATGCAGCACTCAATTAACTACTCCGCGATATTCAGTGATTGTTCTAGTGCTATTCAAGCCATTTCAAAGAATTCGATAAAGTATTGTTTAGAAAATTCGCTAGTTTGTATAATCAAAAACCTGTTGTTCACCTGTGATCAAAACAACATTAAAGTTGAAATAGTTTGGATCCCTTCACATACAGGAATTCTTGGGAATGAAACTGTGGATCAAATGGCTAAAGAAGCAACACATAGTGGTGATTGTGAGTACTACGCGAATGTAAGTCGTGATCTTATTCATAATATTAAACTTAATCTCGTATCAGACTGGCAAAAGCAATGGTAGACCTACTAATATCAATATTCTAAAATAAATCCTAGTGTCTTTATCAAACCTTGGTTATTTGCTTGTTGAATTTTTTTAACTTATAAATTCAACAAGCAAATAACTAGTGTACTTATCAGGCTTCGATTGGGTCACTTTTGCTCACCACAATTTTTATTTAAGCTAAAAATTAAACCTTCTCCTATGTGTAGTTGCGGTAAATCTATCGGTACTTTAGATCATATCTTTCTGGAATGCGCTCTTAATGATGAATGCCCACCACTATATTGTTTACTAACTAACACTAACATCCCGTTCCCAGTTAATATGAACTATCGCTTAACATTCCCTAATCCTAAAGTTGTAAATGCATTAGCTTATTTTATTTCCCGCAATAACATTAAACTGTAAAAATATTTACAAAGTTTTCTCCAGTTCTCATTCATCTCATCTGCTACAATCTATATCTATCTATATCACTGATATTCTATCTACCTGACATTGGCAGAGTCATTCGTAACGCCGTCATGATGTTTTTTTTTTTTTACTAAGCCGCCATGATATTACCTGTACATCAACCTGTAACGCCCTCTATTTTCGAGTAAATTCGATGAATCCATCAAAGGGTAAAAAAGCAAGAGAAAGATTAAGAAAAATAAAATAATAATAATAGTTTCAATATTATTTCCATGGAGGTTTGATTTGAACTTTTTGAAAACTTCAATAGTTGGTAGATTTTTGCTACAAAGTGGTAGGTTTGATAACGACACTAAAATTTGGTAGATCTACCGAAAAGTTGGTTGGTAGTTGGTAGCTAGGCTAGCTCGAAAGAACGTCTCCAATGGTATGTGCTGGAGGCATGATGTCGCCGATTGACAAACCTAACCATCGGTTTTCGGATCGTATAGGCAGTGCAACCGGTCCTTACGGACTGGGTAACCGCGGTCGAGAGCTTCTCTTCCTCCAGCTAATGAAGGTGCTAACTGGCTATTGTTGTTTTGACCGGTACCTGCACCGACTCGCCAGGGGGAACCGACGATGTAGTGCCATCACTGCGGCTATGATGAGGTTGCGTCGTGTTCTCACCACGCAAATCGAACCGGACCTCTTGCAGCCGTCGCAACCGCGGCAACTTCTGGAAGGCTATGCTCGACTTCTGTAAATTCCCCATCACGCAGAAGGAGGTGATGGAACGAGAGAGGGAGAGTTCTTCCCTCTTTGCTCGTTGATCTGTCACTGTGGGCTGAAGAAGCTTTTTTCAGTTCCGGCCCCTGTAGAAAAAGCCCTACTCCTGATGAAGGCGACTTAAAGGGGCCAGTACTGCGAAGTGCGCAAGCGCGTTCTTATCGCAGCCCAGAGAACTGTTGTAGATTGACCGGTTGGCGGTGTATAGACTTTCGAACCGACACTCTTTTTCTGGTCTAGCGAGGCATTCGAAAATCCACAGGCATTGTTATCTACAACGTAGAAAGTTCGGGTTACGGCCCAAAAAGCATAATTTTCCATAATATATGTGGCTTAAATAAAACACCATATTGTAATTCTCATATTATTTATTACCAATAAAAATTCATACAATCTAAAGTAAGGGCTGATTATAAATATGATCAAACATCTAAATACATAGTTTTGATAGTACTGTATCATGAAATGCAGTTTACTTTTATTTTTTTATTTGGTCAATTATACCTAGAAAAAAGTAATATTTAAGTTTAATCGTTACTTATTATTTTAAATTTCTAAGTAGTATTCCCATTCTAATTCTAATTTTATATTTCTAGTAATGATTTTTCCAATTTGATATCTACTTAATAGTTCAATAAACAGGATATAATAACGATCAAAGTCGTAATTGGAAGTAAATACTGTTCTACAATCCAAACTTTACGTACGCATGACACTGAATACTGTCAATAAAATAACATTTTGGTGAGATTATATGGTATTAATGAATGTATAAATATCGCTGTGTAGATGGCTCCCTTATCAATTAATTGATCCCACTTGAGACAAGCAGCTCTTTTTTCGCATTTCGGGCGTGGCCTATTTCACAAAGTATGTACAAGCTCATTTTGAAAAATCTTACGTGAACATATCACGAAGTGGAAACGGAAATCAATTCCGTTAAAGAGTGGACGATTAATATTAGGCGCATACCTATGAAATTACCATACGACAATTTTTGTCCAAAAGCAATAATAATCATTTCTATTTTCTGAAAAGATGCTGTTAATTTGAGGTTTTTAAATTAATAAATATGATTGTTTTGTCGAATAAAGTAAATTATTATGAAAATTTCAATCTATATCTGTATTTATTACCTGGGCTACAAATATCGAAACTGATTAGACATTAGGATCGTTATTCATGTTACTATTATTAGAAAAAAACGAGCCGAAACGAGAATGAACTTAATTGAAATAGGAATATAATGGAATCATAAATACCATTCGCTTTAGTTTATTCACTTTACATTCCGAGTATCATTACTTAAATTTTTAGTAATTTATACATATTTTGGAAACTTGCAAATAAATGGCAAAAAAATTGCCAAACGCCCCAGAAAGCGTTCTATAGGTTCTGTTCGTAGGTTCGTTTTAATTGAGTTACATAGTGTGCAATATAAAAATAAATACATTATGTAATGTAGAGTGATTTTTTTCCCTTTTTTCCGTATTAAGAACCACCAGCTATGCTTCCTGTCTTAATTTTCTAAAACGTTTCCGATACATCCTGTAAATTTATGTGAATACTGACATAAATTGCGTCCATAAAAAAACTATTATTGTTGGGCAGTGATTTGGTACGGTTAAAACTTGTACTGGTAAACAAACCAGGCGATTAACATTGGAAATGATAATGAAACCTACAATTGTGCATTGTATAGTTATTAATCAATGAGTGATTTCACAACTAGTCAGCCTAAGCTAATTTTATTACACACGAAGTTTGTTAAGTTATAAAGGATTGGATATTTTGTTAGTCTCTGCTCTAATATCAGTGTTGTTCTAATAATTTTCAAGTGTTGTTCCCTAGGATTTGGGTAAGTAATTAAGAGAGGCTACTTGATTAATAAAAGTCACGTTGAATAAACCTTTCGTGTGCATATGAAAATCGTTAGAAATGATCGGAAATAAAGTTGATTCGAACAGACTCTATTACGTTTAAACGTGTGCCCAATAGAAAGTCTCCTGTTTAAAGAAGCAATTTATAGGTAACGACCTAGTTGAGTAAGACTGCGGATTGTTAACTCTTAACTTCAATTTAAGTCCACTTGTTTCTAATAACGGAATTGAGTCGTCGTCCCCACATAAGGTTGTATCACACGATTGTACCCTGAAGATGTTGTGGGTCAGGAGTTACATTGACTGGCATGGTGGATCCACCTGATGTAGATGGTAGTGCTGCTGCTATGTCCTGGAATGGCTCTAAAGCCATTCGAGGAGTTTCTTCCGGTGGTGTAATTCTTAGGCCAATGCTGCTTAGTCCTAATTTTATAGCATCTTGCTCCTGCTGTTGCTGCTGATGTTGAAGCAAGGAATTGAAGTGCGATATGCCTATTTCTTCTAAACTGCTTTTGCGACGTCGGGATCCTGTTCCGCTTATGCCCTGACGTAAAGAATTTGATCGTCGTAGTAAAATATCATCCACTACACGCAGTGAATTAGAGCGACCTCTGAAATCTGTAATGATTGTTGGGCTATCGGGTAAAGACAACGAATTAGCCTTGGTAGTGGAAAGAGGTGGAGCCCGTGATTGAGCAAAAGTTGCTGCCATTCCTGAACCTCGTCTGCTCCCTCCCTGCGCTTGGATTAAGGCTTGAGAACAGAAGCTTATATTTGATTTTCGACGACTGTTATGCCTTTCAAATGTTTTTTGTGCAGAAAATGGAGAAGGGCGCACAAGATAACTGAAACGAATAATTAGTTTTTTCAATACTGATTAGGCAAAAATATATAATTAAAGTATGTTAGGAAGTATTGTAGAGGACCCTAGATAAAACACCAATGCCATCACTCTGCATAGGTATGCTACGCATTTGTAGTCTCGTTTTTATGGAAAACAAGGTGTGGAGCAATCAACCCGCCACTCACTGTGATCAACGTGGGTCGCATCTTACAGTGTCTAATTAAAGCCGTTACTAGAACTCTCAACTGAAATGCCACTTCTGCTATGAGTTTCATGGGTTCAACACTAATGTTAGTGAGATTTTACGGGGTCCATTGATTAGTTCAACGCTAAAATTAAGTTAACCCGACGACTAACCTGGCTAATTCATAATGATTTAAAATTTCTAACTTATAAACCATTAATGGTACTATGTCAGAAAACTTCCCTGTAGTATCAGCATCAATTACTAAATTCCTTTAAAATTATATATTGGCTTAGAAACGCAAAGAGGACAATCAAAGTGACCTACATACCCATATTTATTATTATTTATATACATAGATACTCACATGATGTCTCCTTCTTGCAAATTTAAGTCGCAGCTTGGATTGATTATGACATAAGATAAACTATTTCGTTTTTCGCTTACATCATCGTAATCTACCCCAGTTAGATTTAGAGATTCCATCCTGGAACGAACCAAGTTGGCTATTTCAGCTCTTTCAATTTGCTGAATGTGATTGTCGCGAGCTTCATCTGCCAGACTTGTAGAGTACTGTAAAGGAAAATAATTGTTAGGTATAGAATTAAAACAATACTTTTTTATTATACTTCTTTTTAAATCAAATTACATTTCAAGGCTACGATGTGACCAAAGATCAACAACATGCAAATTTGTTTTTTTTATAAGTTAGTAATTCTAAATACGGCCTAATAATTTCATCACTTTGGTATCATACCAGCTATGAACATCATGCACATTCATTATCATCACATGAAACTTGAATTAACAATTTAATATTTTACAAGAAGTGTTTTGATTTGGATTTGGATATTTAACTAAAACTACCAATTTTTTTCTGAGCTTCGATTGAGCTTGCACTATTGTTGCACACATTAATGTATTTATAAAGATTTATGCGAATGGCGAGTATTTGAATGAATCTGTAACATCTAAGTGAGTCAGTTACTAAATAACAAGCACTCCGTTTGCAATTGTTCGTTCTCTGGTTATTAATGGTGCACTAAAAGCTCTCTAAAATGTCACCACTAGTGCCAAATCATTCCCAGGTATTGTATGTATGTATTTTTTTACATTCAACTATAGCTTTTGACACTTACGCTTAATAAAGAGTCGAGGTAGTTTATTCAGGACTGATCCTTAATTAAATGTTAATAGCTGTTGACCAAATCGATTTCGTTATTTTATTCCAAATAGAATCTTTTGATTTGCATTTTTTTTTTAAAAGCATCAACTATTTACCCCTAATTATTGTAAATAAAATATTTGAGAAGAAACTTTTATATGAAAAAAACAGTCAAAATTGTAGAAAACCGTATTTTGCGTTTTGCCCTCATATATGAGGATTAAATTAAAGGGCTCATAATAATCTTACCACCGGCGTGCGTTCTCCGTAGCAACCACCAAGGCAGCTAGTTGCCTCTTGACGCCCGCACGCCGGGAAATCTCCTCCATCAAGCTCCTCCTGCTGCAAGTGTCGTTTCTCATTTTCCAAAAAATGTTGAGAAATTTAAGTAGAAATGTAAATATGATTTTATAAAAAAAATATCAAAAAACTACCCCGTTTCGATATTACTTAAGTTTGGTTAATTTGTATTATAGTTTGAACAAAAAATAAGATGAGTCGTGTGTAAACTACCACAGATGAAAAGAGCATGCACCAAGCAGTAAGCGTTTTGAGATTTATGGTTATTTTTATTTGTGCAACTTTAAACTTGTACTAATATTGATGATACCTCCAAATATATGTAACTGCAGATATTTATATATTTAAACGCATCGAAATTGTGCGTAGTGTTGAGTTGTATTTGAATTAAATGTTCCAATTTATGATTCATATAAATGATTATTACGTAAGATGTGACTCTTTGGTAAGTTCTACAGTTTCTTCAAAGTTCATGCACTATATGTATTACAATTGCGGGATTGCGATCATCGAGTTTTATTATTATTAAAAATTACCAAAAACGGATTAATAATTCATATTATTATTGAGATTAAAAAAAGGAAAAAAGCACCTACCACTTTTTGCATAGCTGTTTGCAATTTGTTAAAATATTTTGAAGCTGTGACTTTTTAAAGACAAAGTTCGTGTTAATAGATTTATAAAATATGCTATAAACATTAATACTCTAAGTAAATACATTTCACAATTGTGATGCTTAAGATATTGAAGTTTTATAAGTATATTACATTCAGGAAAAGTGAAGTACAAATTGACTCGGGATTAAGGCAGAAAACCCGAAATACAGTCCAAAAAATAAAATGTGTAAGTCGAAGTCAGTCAAGTCAAGATTGCTTCAAGATAAATATATTTCGGAGTCATGATGTTAGAATGAAATGATCGGATGGTCAGATAAAATTACAGTGAAAATATGAGAAAGGACTGTATTTAAGGAAATATACGTTTGAGGAGGATTTCACCCACTCACCGAAGCACGGGATGGTCGCATTCTCGCAAGGCGTGACCAAAACCAGTTTGACGAAGTCCTTTGCGACATACTCACGTGGTGAGATGCATCGGCCATGCTTGTATCTTGTGTGCGATATATCCCAATTGGGATTTCACATGAGGTCGAACATAGTTTTTGGTATAAACGACCATAGGTACGAATCCACATATCTTCTTTGGTAATTTTTATCTGTCAATATAATAGTGTTATACAATCTGATTCCTTTCGCTTGGGCTTCTATTAATGGTTTATAACTTGGAATAATAAAGGTTTGATGGAATACAACCAATTTTAGAACTAGAGGCATTCGCGTGACAGTTTTAATATAACGCAGAGCTTCAACAAGGTTAATGATCACAAATTTTAGATTTTAATTTTAGTAGTCAACCTACCGACGCTAAAAATCCAGATCCGGGCGCCTGATCTATTCCCAATAATAGTCGCACAAAAGTAATCATGTAATCTTTAACAAAGGCTTGATAAAGTAACGTGTCTAACATTGAGGCAGAGAAAACTGATCCGGCCGCGAAAGGCAATCGGAACATATAGGAAATGTGTGAGCCCCTTTCTTTTTCTCGCTGAAAAAAAAGAGAACTTAATTAACCAAATTCCTCAATAGCACTATATGAAGCATCTATTTCTCATTGCTATATTTCTGTCTGTTCGCTTTGAAAGAACTCTCAATTGTGTACCTAACTAATTACGTTAATTATAATGCAGAAGAAAAGTTGTAAAAAATACGTAGTTGTAATGTACATACTGTATTTCCTACCTTTTCCATCTTAGAAAGATGTAAAGCATATTTATCGTGAGCACGGAATTGCATAAATCTCATATTTGATGATTGAGATAGTTCTGTTATGGACCTTATTGAAGGGAAGAACCTAAAAAAAACATTTATTTATTATAAATTTTTTTCTTCAACTCTTTTATTCGCTCATGCATAATCCATTGATCGTAGTGATTTATAATTCGCTTTCTTTATTTTTTTCGCAATAGCAACCACAACGATTTATGCGAATATCTCTATGTAATAAAAAAAAAATTACTTGAACATTGTCTGTACTGCTACAATTGTATTGCAATCAGCAAGGCTATCTTCCTCAGCAGAATTTGATAGCTCTTTGTTCACAACTACAACGTTTTCAGCTAATGTTATTCCAGCTCGAAGCAGATCATCCAAGCTGAAATTTTTGTATTAGGATAATACCACATAAAGCGCGTATAAATTACATTAGAATAATCTAAGTAAATAGTAAAAAAGCTTTCTAAAAGTTTTTAAAAAGTTTTAAAAAAAATCTTTCTAAATCTTATTAAACTACAATAAAAAATAAAATAAAACTTTTCAACAAACTTTAATAAAATTACGCGCTAAGGGTATGAAAGGATAAAATTGCCGTTTCAGACTAAAAGTGTTATCACTTTGTAAGAGGTAAAACATTTGCGCTTGCGCGTCTGCTATAGAAGTTTGAGGATCTAGACCACACAAAGTCTATGAAAGCATAAATATCCCAGTTTCTCGAGTTTTTAGGCTATTTTAATATTGTGTATACATTTATAAACAATTAAATTCAAAGCGCAACCCAAATCTCTCAGATGTTTGAAAAGGATCGGCTTTCACTAGTACTTATAATTCGTCTTTTTTTAGCTTAGTTCCTGGTATTCCTCGAGGCTTAATAGTTAAGTTGATGTTCACAGTATGAAGTGATGAAACAAAAACGTCCTGTGCGCTTAATAATCTAATCCCGTATGCTGCGTTACCCATTTTATTTTTGATATTACCCTGTTAAATTTGAATATGAGAGCTTGAAAAAAAATATCAATCATTTCAAACATTCATTTTTAACTAGATCTTTCAGATTTCATCTGGATATTCTATGGTGATAGTTTTTACCAAAAAAACGGCAAGTTTATACTTTAACCCTTATTATAATTATGACCATATAGTCCTAATTGTAGTCTGATATAAAATAATATAAATTTTGATTTACCAATCAATAGTGCCCAACATCCAATAAACCAGAGGGAAATAAGATATGGCATCTAGAAATGCAACATCTGGCCGTCGCTCGAGAAGCAAAATAATAGGGTTTAAAGTTGTTTTAGACCGAAAATGAGCTCTTAGCGGAATAATAAAATTGTAAATTCCATTAGAAGCATAGTCGGCAGCAAGAATAATCGTTTTATTTTGCCATTGATATTCCTTGGCATTTCTATATGCGCAGTGTTCACAGACTTGGGCCAGTTGTAAGCAGCAAAGAGGTTTCTTTTCCTTTAGCAGAAAACAGAGAGTTGGGCTGACTCCAATAAAAGGTGACACAGGCGGGAATCCTTTGACGATTCTGAAAGAAGAACAGATATGTGCTCACTTAATTTATTTCTTCTTTGTTTTTGTTAATAATTATTGTTTCGAGAGACTCAAGTGCAGATAGTATAATTATATTTTAACAATAAAATAAAAGGCTTCATTACCAAGCTGAAACAAAAATGAATATGTATATTTCTGATGTTCCTGGTCAAGATATTAAACTCAAATAGTAACATTATTGATTAGAGTATTTCGTTATTAGGATTAAATTACCAATGCTGCTTTGATAATTTTATACATTCATTAAGATTTGTTTCTAAGATGTGAGTTTGGTTGTGTAACATATTTTTTAATGTACGTATGTATACTTAGTCTGGCCATAAATCTGTTACAATTAAAAATAAACAAAATATTGCATTTGAGTTTGAAATCTGTCATTTTTATATGATTGCTCATTGAGTTTTCTCATTTTGGCGCCAATACATTGTACAATATTTTGCGATATTAAAATGGAGTGGGGTGATAAAGAGAACCGAATCGCTGCGATTGCATTACACAAAGTAGGTATGGAGCCAAATGCAATTTTTAAACTCTCCATACGCTTGGTATTAGTAAAATGTTTGTGTACCGGGCTATTAATGGGTGCAATGAGACCTCTGCTTGTGACAGAAAAAGATCTGGCCGTCCACGTAGTGTTCGTACAAAAAAGGTGATCAAAGCAGTAAGGGAAATAATTCGAAGAAATCCTGTCCGAAGGCAAAAGATTTTATCTCAGGAGATGAAGATAGCACCTAGAACCATGTCGCGTATTTTAAAAGATGAATTAGGACTTGCAGCCTATAAGAGACGTACTGGTCATTTCTTAACTGATAATTTAAAAGAGAATAGGGTGGTAAAATCGAAATAACTACTGAAGCGGTACGCAAAGGGAGGTCATAGAAAATTTTTGTTTACGGATAAGAAAATTTTTACAATTGAGCAACATTTTGACAAATAAAATGACCGTATTTATGCTCAAAGCTCTAAGGAAGCTTCCCAATTAGTCGACAGAGTGCAACGTGGGCACTGTCCGACTTCAGTAATGGTTTGGTGGGGTATTAGCTATGAAGGAGTGACTAAGCCATACTTTTGTGAAAAAGGTATCAAAACATCGGCACAAGTGCATCAAGATACCATTCTTGAGAAGGTAGTAAAGCCCCTTAACAACACCATGTTCAATAATCAAGAATGGTCCTTCCAGCAAGGCTCGGCGCCAGGTCATAAAGCTCGGTCTACGCAGTCTTGGTTGGCAACGAACGTTTCGGTCTTCATCAGAGCTGAAGACTGGCCGTCGTCTATTCCCGATCTTAATCCGCTGGATTATGATTTATGGTCAGTTTTAGAGAGTACGGCTTGCTCTAAACGCCATGATAATTTGGAGTCCCTAAAACAATCCGTACGATTGGCAGTGAAAAATTTTCCCATGGAAAGAGTGCGTGCTTCTATTGATAACTGGCATCAAAGTTTAAAGGACTGTATTGCAGTCAATGGAGACCACTTCGAATAAGCTTTTTATATTTTAAATTGTTTTATATTTATGTATTAAACTAACACACTGTAAAAGTAATAAATGTTATTTGCAATAGATTTTTTTTCCTTTGTGTTAGTATTTATGGCAAGACTAGGTATATTCGTTAGTATTAATGTGAGGAAACGTTGCACGTTTTGGATGTTTACGTTTTAACTAAACGTTTTAAGACGCAATACAACAAAAAATAAAATAAATGTCATAGAAGCGATGCCTAGCGATATCTAGTACCAGAGTATTTATGAACTGTGTGAAGTACATCCGTATTCCGAATACGATCAGATCAGCGGATATTGAGTATTTTGCGCAGACGTTTCAGGTAAAAACGGTTCAGCGCTCGTATATGGCGACGGTATACTGTCTATGACTGAAGAGTACAGTATGTTTGGCAGCACCGCTTCCCGTGTATAGATATATATCTCAATTTTGGTAGCTAGATTCTGGTAATGTGAGTTAAAAATCTTGCGATCCAGTCTGCCAAATATCGCGGTTGCGCCACCGATCCGACTGTTAATTTCGGCATCATGGTCGATCTTTGACGTTATAATTATCCTCAAATAATGGTACGTATTGACTTGCTTGATTGAGTATTTCATTACCGAGTTTAATGGACAGAACGTCTTGACCGCTGATATAACATCACTCCCGTCTTTTTGAAACTAATCTTCAGACCAAAACTTTAGGAGGACGCGTGAAAAGTGGTCATAGTTTTTGCAGGCCTTCTAGGGAATCTGTCACAAAGCATAGATCTTCTGCACAGACGATCTCTGTAATTAGTGCGTCAGCCACTTTCGTACGAGCCTCGTCATCAGTCTACGGCAGTCCACTACTGGACATAGATAGGCCTCCTCCAAAGCTCGCCACTGAACCCGATCTTCGGTTCTACGCATCTAGCAGTACGGCGTCCTACACTACGTTTGCCGGTTCCCGGTCTCCACTCCAGAACATGTCTACCCACCTCAACGGTTATCGGTTCTGCGACGTATGTGACCAGCCCACTACCACTTCAGCTTACTGACTCTGCGAGCTATATCAATCACGTTGATTTTTCCCCGAATGACTTCATTACGTATTCGGTCTCACAATGAGAAACCAAGTATAGCTCGCTGAGTAACTTTTAGTTGGCGGACTAGTCGCACGGTCAACGTCCACGCTTCGGCTTCGTAGGTAGGCATAGGTAAGACGCACTGATTTTCACCTTTGTCTTCAGACATTGTGGTATGGGCGACGAAAATACCTGACGAAGCTTCCCAAATGCAGCTCAGCCCAACTGAATCTTTGTGGTCACTTCGTTCTCAAAGTTGTTTCTACCTAGTTGTAGGGTTTGTCCCAGGTAGACATACTCTTTAACAACTTCGAGAGGTGTGCCTCAACATCGATTGGTCTCGGAATGACGTTTCCGTTAAACATTAGCTTGGTCGTATCCAACTTCATTCCGAGGCCAACCCGTTGGAACGCAGTGTTATGGCTGCGCAGCATTTCTTGTAGGTTTTGCAGAAATTTCGCTATGATGACGATATCATCGGTAAAGCGAAGATAAGAGATATATTCGCCGCTTATGTTAATGCCGCGTCCGTTCCAGTCCAGAGTCTTGAAGATGTCCTCCAGTGCGTTTGTAAACAGTTTCGGGGATATATCATCCCCCTGTCTTACAGCGCAACTGAATTGGTTTCGTCTGGTCTTTTTGCACTTGGACGGTCATTGTAGCAGCATCGTACAGGCATCTTAGTGCATCGCTGTATCGTCAGTCAGCTTGATACCGCTGCAAAGATTACAGAACAGCTCAGATCACGACCGAGTCAAAGGCTTTCTCGTTATAGTGGCAGACTATATTCTTCAGTCTTCTGTATAATCTGCCGAACTGTGTGAATGTGGTCCACGGTACGTCTTATCCCCTTTCTTAAAGAAAAGGACAACTATGCTCGCCTTTGGAGTTCTACCGGTAAAAAGGACAGTGCTAAAGAGCTTCTGGAGCTCCCTAATAACAGGAAGACCTCCTGTTTTCAAGAGCTCAGAAGTAGCACCATCCTCCCCCGGGGCTTTACCATTTTAAAGATTTTCAAAAGCCATCCCGATCTCGTCCACACTAATCTGTGGCAGCTCGTCGGTGTAGTGGCGGGATAGTATGCTCGGGCATCTGCTGGGTCGGAGACAGGCTTGGTTGTTTTGGAAGTACAGAGACCTCCGTAGAAGTCCTCAATTTCCTTGAGAATCTCCGCTTTAAAGGCGAGAATTTGGCCATCCCTTGTGGTGAGTTTTGTAAGATGGCTTCTACCAAGACCTGGCCAGTGTTTTCTCACCTTTCTTTCATTATCCAGAGAGCCTCGGATGATAATTTTGACGTTCTGCCTGCACGACCCTTTGGACAAAGTTTCTTACGAGCTTAGCTAGATTAAAAAGTTTACTATCATTACGGAAACGGATGTGGATTCTTTCAGGGGTGCTCTGTAGTAAGTATTACATAACGGACTACGACTTTAAAGTATAATGCAAACAGTGTGGGTGCGAGGACACATCCTTGTTTTACCCCAGAGGTGACGGGAAAAACTCTTGACTGATTAAAGTTTACAGCGACACTCAAGTGAAGTAAATTATCCCTTCGTAATAAGGTGACACTACAAAACTTGCATACGCCCCGTCATGACCTATGCAAGCGTAGTGTTCGCTCACGCGGCCCGCACCAACTTGGAACCCCTTTAAGTCATTCAAACCCGTTTTTGCAGGATAGCCGTCGGAGCACCATGGTTCCTACGGAACGTGGATCTCCATGATGACCTGGAGCTTAACTCAGTCAATAAGTATCTACAGTTGGCATTATTGCGCCATTGAGAAGGCGGTACGACATGAATAATACCCTCTTGTCATGGCCGCCCGTAATTACATACCCGATCCTGTAGAACGAATGGTAAACAGTCGTCGTCGCCCTAAACAAGTCATTACGGATCCTCTCGATCCATTAACGGTGCTTTTAAGTACCTCAAGCACCGGTTACCGTCCTCGCCGGGGGGGGGGGGGGAAATGGACACAGCTCGGCATGTCGTAATGCAGGAGTCTCAGAAGTCTCACAAACTTCTCCGTTGCGGTACACTATCGAATGGCTCTTAAGATCAACAAAACAGAGATACATATTACGACTCTGTTCTCTTTGTTTTTTTTTACAATTGTTGCAATGAGAAAATTGGCTCACAAGCACTACGGTCTGGCCGAAAGCCGAACTGGGATTCTAGCAGAATCTTTACAGAGAAATCCCTGAGGCGGCTTAGGAGAACTCTGGCGAAAACTTTCGCAATCATTGTAGTAGAGAAATACCGTGGTAAGAATTACAGTTAACTCGGTGACCTTTGCCTTTATATAGGGGCCGAATGAGAGATTCTTTAAAAGTATTATGGACTGGTTCTTGCTCCCACATAACGACAAGTAGTTCCCACACAGCCTAGTACAAATCTTACTGTTACTTAAGCAAAAGCAACCTCTCCAAGTGAGACCGGCATTACAGTGTTAGAAAAAAAAAGTAAATGGACAAAAGCCGCGAAAAAATTTGACAATATTAATTTAATGGTAAATCAATCAATAAGAGTACCACTAAATGGGTTCAAGCCTTTTCCATTCGGTAATTTTGATGTGAAAGTTAAGGCTCGCTCTGGTCGATCTGTTACGGATGACGATAATGTTATTTTTGGTTACGACCTAGTTGAAAAACTAGGTTGACCAGTAAATATTTTCGATCCATTTAAAAGAGTCTGGATAAACAAAATAGCTCGATATTTGGGTGCCACTCAGCGTATCTTCACTTTTTATCACATTTTCGAATGCTAGTAGATTTTTATTTCATGCTTTTAATGGTGCTTGATAATTTAAAAATTTTCGGTTTCATAAATTGTCTAGGTTTTGCCCTCTGTAGTACACTCCATATACTTTCACATAAAGTTACTTCATCGTTTAGCACATGATTGATACAGGAAATAAATTCACCGCCAAATCATACATTTTTGAATTATATTTATCCTATTCTCATAATTTTTTCCCATTTCATCATTTTCCCATTTCATCATTTTCCCATTTCTAATTACAAAAGATATATTTAATGTTCTTCGTCGTATTCGACGAGTTCCATCCATCCACTTCGTCCTCCGCTTCATCCACGTCTCGTTGACTTTCCTCTTCCACTAGTTGTCCAATGAAAACGTTGTATTCAGTGCCTTATCTGGCTAACTCACGACTCCCAAGCAAAAATAAAATGTCGATAAGTTTAACTGATTAAATCGATTGGAATAAATGTGCGCCAACTTGTGACTTTTAATAAAACATGGTCGTCAACTTCTCCCACATTAGAAGAGCAGATGCACACGACTTTAAATAAATAAGAATATGTACTATTCTATTCACTATTACGTCTTGGGCTCGTCCCTTTATTTTTCCTCATCTATAGTAATTTGAAATATTATTGTTGAAAATAATTACTCCATCTCGTCTTTCCATTTATACTTCTTTCTTCCGTTGTAAAACTTCATCTTCTTTTTGTCTGTCATCGGCTTGCCCATTATTATTGCCTAAGTCAATTTTGTCCTCCTTTTTAATTATAGTTTTGATTTTTTTTCTGCTATAAACTATTTGATAATTACATGCACTAGAATGGATACGACGTAAAATATGTATTGGCCCAAAAACCTATTGATAATTGTTTAATTTTCACGTAAAATACACGCATATGTACACGTATACACGTTATGCTCTTACTTTTTTACTAAATAAAAAATCAGGACTTTATACTTATATTCTTTGTAAAATTTAAATGTATTTTCATTTATATTTGCACCTTTTTACAGTACATCTACTATCATTTTAGTGCGAGCTTTAGTGCAATAAAAAATTCAAAAGGTTTTTCTATTTGTCAAGGTTTTTTTAATATTCTGTAGCACCTGCTGATGAGCTTTAGTATTTCCAACAAAACATTTTGAGAATAATTGGGAACAATTTATCCGTTTAGTACTATTTTTTCCTCTGTGTATCTAATGATTTCCTTATATTTGTATTTAGTAGCCATTGATGAAATTAATGTAGCTATTACATTTGTTCAGAAATTATTATTATTATGTTAAATTATTATTATGTTTTAATTTTCAATATGTCAACAATAAAAAAACAAGTAAAAAGATAAATCAAATTGAGAAGTCAGTGATTATGATTGAAATTCGATCATTGGGTGACAACTGGTTTAAGTAAATAGCGAAGTTCCTAACGCATATGTTATGTATGTACGTATGTAGTCGAATTGTATAGTTTTTGTTTCAATGTTTTTACTTGTTTCCATTATAAATAACGTCTGATTGACTAAAATACTGCAACAAGCGTGCTCTATACTACGGTGTGACCTGGGAGTTAAATCTTTATTATAAAAGAGAATGTGTACACGCTATGCACGCATGCGTATTAATATGTATGAAATTGTAATTAACCTGGAAACGTGCAACTCAATTCAAGAAGAATCCTTAAGTTAAATGCACATAGCAACGATGTTGCTATCGGCTGGTTTATATTTGTTGTATAATCCGAATATCAGCACATGTAGAGTACTCTGATCACCGCATTTCGATGAAAACAAGCTCACCTTGCAAAATCGTTGCGCCAAGCGCTGTGTGCGTTATCACTGGCAGCCAGCGAGGAGAAACTGCTTGTAGTGAAGTCATCTCTGGAGCCAAGGGATCGGGCCGTGCAGTTGGGATTTACATTCAGGGTTATACAGAAACACAATGCACACGAAGATTGCGAAAAATAATAAAAAAATTACTAGATTTATATCATTGGACGTATGTATTTGCAATAGATTAGTAGGGGTGAAATGATCACTATAATTTATCACTAAAAATTATTTCTCCGTTTTGTGTCTTCGAATGAAGTGAGCGCTATGAATAAGCAACTTGTTACATGCAAATAATAAAAACGCATATGTTTGATACATTAAATAATAGTGTAGATCGGATAAATGGTTAATATTTATAATGCAGCTTGAAATATTGCATTAAAATTATCTTTATACGAGTATTACTGTATTACGAATGTAATATAATATTGCTCTTACAACAAATTAAAACGTTAGTCTACGAAGAGTTATTATGGAATTTTAAAGTTTTTCATTTGTTGCTTTCTTATCCAAAATATAAAAAAATAAATAGCGATGATCAACTCCTCATTGCTGAACTCAATAATATAAATCTTAAATATAAAGCAACTAATGAAACAATATCATACCTACATTATGCGACATTCATGCAACTTGTGAGCCCCGGGTCAGGTATCTACAGAAGTGAGTAAAGGCTATAAAAGAAAAAAAATTGCCATAACATCTCATTCATTTCATCGCGATGGATTTAATGAGAGAGATTAATAACAAAAAAACTTTGATAATTCATAAATATGTGGTTAAAACGACACACTACCTAGTCCAGCCATAAGTTCTGTTACAAATGAAAATGCATTTATTTTTTAATGAAGTAATGTAAAGTTGCCTGACTGAATGGCTGAAGGTTTGGGCTAGATGAGGGCCAGTCTTCAGCTCTTATAAAGTCCGGAACGTTGGTTTCAAGCCAGGCTTGGGTAGTTTGTGTCTTATGACCAGATGCAGAGTCCTGCTGGAAAGTCCACGGTATATTTTTAAAAAATGTATTGCTGAGCGGTTTCACAACATGATCCAAAACTGTATCTTGGTACACTTTGACTGAAGTTTACACTCTTTTTTCACATAAATGTAGTTTTGTGACTCCTTGTTAAGACACGCCCCACCAAACAATCACTGACGCAGGATGATGACCACGTTGTACCTTTCCGACCACTTGAGCAGCTTCTTTAGATCTGTGAGCGTACACTTTATCATTTTGCTTATTGTAGTGTTCTTCAATCGTGAAAATTTTTTCATCGGTAAAGAGGATATTTCTGTGCCTTTTATCTGCGTATCGACAGAAGGCGTTTTGATCGATCTACTCTTTTTAATTGTAAAGGTTGATTTAGAGCATGTCCTGTATATTGACGATAAGCACCGAGCTTCAGGTCTTGTTTTATAATACGCGAGAGTCCTAGCGGGAATCTTCATTTCTCGCGATAAGATTTTTTGCTTTCTTATGGGGTTTCGACGGATTCTGGCTTTAACAGCATTAACGGTCTTTGTAGTTCTAACAGCACGTGACCGCTCCGATATTTTCTGGACAGACGAAGTGTTGTTGTATCTATTGATATACGATATACGAACATACGGCTAATACCAAGGTTTTGAAGCGTCCGACTGCTCTATACCCACTTTGTGCAAGGCGATCAATGCAATCCTATTTTTTTTAAAACCCCATTCCATATTGTAATTTGATAATAACCCCGAAAAAATATTTGAAATGGTGCAAAATCGAAAGATGATTTTAAAAGAATATACGTGTTCCAAATTCAAAATAATGATAAAGTTGAAAAAAATAAATGTTTTTTTGTAACAGTATTTATGGCCAGACTAGTTATATCGCATGCTTGCAGTTTATTCATTTGTTACTTATAGTTTTTTCATTTAAAATATACTTAGATTTATATCTGACATTCAGTAGAGAATAGTGAAAAAATTGCGTGCTTTAGGCATGGGTCAATTGGCAATATGATGTGCTTACGCAATTTTTTCTGATGGGGATCGCCAAGGAACATCGTCATCTAGCTCATCTTCGCTCTCATCAATTTCAGCTTCTTCATCTTGATTGTCATTTGTTAAAGTTAAACTACTGGTGACCATATCTGGAACAGGAAGTATCGATGGCCTCCTGCTATTTCCTGAAATCAGGCAGTTGTAGTTTTAAATTTGTTGTTTTTTAATACTTTAAAGCTTTACATTACATTGTAAAAAAAAGTACCTCCACGATGACTCAGTGTGTCCGGACTTAAGAAATTGCTGGTTTCAGGTTTCGGTAAAAGTAAATGACTGTCAACAACACTTTCGATTCCTGGTGATTCTTTTAAGCAGGTCCTTGATTCGGAGGTAGAGCGATCGGCTAATTTAGCTGTACAAACATTACAACAGTGCTTAATGTAAAATACTAAAAAGTATTTACATTTATTCATTGACTTCCCACCAAAAAAATCGAAACACCTTAATGGTTTATTCAGGTACGAGAAATACATTGTGAATGTAATATGTAGCTGCCAAATTTTCAAGCACAATCTGGTCACCAGGATAATGTTTTGTTACCAATTTAGGTAAAAAAAATCTAATCGCGATTATTTTAACAAAATACAAAATTACCTTTCATAAAATATGTTACGCTAACCCCAGGTGATAGGTGAGAAGGGCAGGAGAATGATGACAAAATTACCCTTTTTTTTTTTTTTTTTTTTTTTTTCGGGTAGAGGGCCGAACCTCCTACGAGGTCCCCGCGCAAAAGGGGCGCGCGGGGTATGTGAGACTCAACGATCTGCATGGTGTTGTGAGCAGACCGCGGGCCCAAGGATTTTAGAGCCCACCCACTAAACGACTCCTCTGCACTCTTACACCCGACGTCCGATCCCCTCCGAGGTCAGAACCCGGATGAGGTAGGGGGGCTACCGCGGTCAACACTACAACCAGACGGCGCGGCTCACCCCAAGGACGCCCAGCCGACGGAGCCTTCGAGGCGAATCGAAGGCTCTGACAAAATTACCCTTCTAACAGCGATTTTTTTCCCTACCTATTCGCTGGTAGTCCAAGGGGCTATTCCGGCTACGCTGCGACTTATAGGTGAGCTTGGGGGGTTCGACTAGAGAGAACATGATCCTGGCAGGAGCAGTGCTTCGCAGAATCTACCACCGGATCGGAATCGCGACCCATTGAGAAGATCCGGCGAGAAATTCAGTGGGTTAACATAACAATAAAAGCTGTCTCAAAATACATGTATATCTAAAAGTTAAATGATTCACTGCTTATGAATTTATGTTAGTTTTTTTAGACATGAACAAAAAATGTTGTTGCACACTAAAACATTTAAAAAGGATTACCCACTATAAGGCCAGTAGGAAATTTTCGAAGTGTTTCGATTTTATCAATGAGAAGTAAAGTTTTGAATTAATCGTAAGCTATTTATGAATTACCATTCATATCAATATTATATAGAGATCAATAGCAGCATCTTATCTTAATCCGACTAAGCGGAGTCTGCAGAACTGTGTCAATAATAAATACAATTTATTATTTACACGGCGTGTTGTAAGCCCCCATGAGTATGCTGCCTCGGCCTATTTCTAGATGAGCTGTTATTCCAATGAATTTGAAGCTTCAAATTCAAGGCTCGATATAGGTGGCGAATTTTATATTATGTTATCTATGGACCTCCGTGATCACTTAGCACCAGATAAGGACGTTCGATCGATTATTCTAAAAAATAAATATGAGAATGTTAAGTCGATGAATACTAAGTGAGGAGATATTGGGACTTAAAAGATCCGCTATTAATAGCAGCTTTAAGAAATCAAGGTTGCATATTGGAATCCTCTAATTTATAGGGTAACAACCATTCTCATGTATGGCTTTCTGACTTATACTCAATTATATAACGATTTTTGAAATCTGTTTCATCGTACTAATGCAAATTTCCCGAAAACCCTAAACAAACTTTATCTACTGACATAAGGCTACATTAGACAATCAATGTACCGGATATATGAGTCGAAGCAAAATTTAAAACTATATAGCAATATGACAAAATATCGTGAACAATCTGTTGACACATACATACTCGTATGTATATTAAAAATATATATTATACGTTCTATGATTACCTCATATTATTTTCCATTATCAAGAAAATCATGATTTAAAATTAAATAATGCTGGTGATGGCTACATGAAACTCGTGAGTAAGCAAACTTATGGACAAATTTAGAAGAAGAGCGCAAGAAAGATTTAATTTCTCTTGTTATAATTATTATGTGTACTGGTCACAAACATCATGAATGAATTTATATTCATCATTATTCATCATTATATTCAAATGTTTTGAAAAATTATTTTTTTAAGATTTGATTTTATATTCATCATTATTGCGTAATATTCGTTATTCACAAACAATTCTAACTATTAAATTATAAGTTAGGTTTTTGTAAATGTTTACCTAGCCTCCGTTGCTTATCATATCAATGTGAATTGATATTACAAATAGACTGAGAATAAGGGAATAAACAAGTTCTAAATGCCACTCGAGTTGCTAGGGCTGATATCTACTTTGAAACTGATTACGTCTATAAATATATCGACCAAATACACGATTACCAAAACTTGTGGTTTACCAAATTTTAAGCACATGTTACATGTAGAGTTACAGTACAAGGACGTAGACAGAACAGTAGAAAGAAAGATGACCGGTTCATCGTTACAAGCTTTTATTGCCTACCTACTAATCTCGAGCGCATATTCTCTATTCACCCTGACTGGTGGACGAGCTCGTGGGGCTTAGCTTGAAAGAATTTGCTAACACCTGCCCGATCAAAAGCCGTGCTTCGCTGAATACGAATGATGATTTGGTGAAAAACTCAGTGTAATCGTTACAAGTTTGTTTAGAACCCAACATAGTTTCTTCTAAAGTAATATCGAAGTTCCAACAAGTTCCGGGATTTACAATAAGTACAAAAATTATGACAAGAAAACTAAAATATGACAATACAGAGCCAAAGCAGACCTACCACTGAGTACTCTTTTCAAACATCATTTGAAGAAAGAAACTCATCAATGCCCTCAGGAAGCACTGGCGGAGACACTTCATTCAATGTTTGATGATATGTGGCAAAGAAGATCTTTGGAAACGCACTGCGATTGAAGACAGTGGCTTTAGGTAGTATGGATGAACTCTGTCCCAGTGGCGGGTGGCACAATTCTTAAAAGAATATCACTGAATGGTCTTAAACAATTCATTAAAATTTTCCTCATGGAACGTAGGGAACAAAAACCCGAAACCGATGACTCTCCGTACTTTCCCGAATTTTTTAATTGGTGCATTTTTGTCATTAAGATAGTTAATTTTTTTTGACGTTTGCAAGTTTTTATTAATGAATAAGAAGCAAAATAAAATATAGTAAAATAAATTGTCACAACAATCCGTCATATTTTGCTTAATACAATTTTTCAGCGTTCCTCTAAATTTATCCATGAGTGTATTATTAATCCTAATGAAATTTGTTAATATATCCAAAAAATTAAATACTCAATATAGTACATTCATTGACATTGATTTTTGTTGTACTAAAAGTCTTAATATTTCCTGCAAAAATAGACTGTATTCATTGATGATGTAATGAATTTAGTCTATTATGTAATTAATATTAACTGTGACTCACAGCTAGCAAAGTTAAAGTTAGCGCATGATAAGGTTTTAAGATTTTTGATGCGTGATGGCGATGCGTTGGGTGTGGAACTCGAGGGAGCTTCAAGAACCACTTGTGGTACTTCGCACTGAACGACGCTACTACCGTCTGGTTTCTTCTGCTGGCTTGTACTGCCTTCGTCTGGATTCCTCTCGTTTGAAAGGAAGCTGCATGCTGTTTGGTCTTTTGGTATCGTAGGATTTGGTACAGCCTGTTTATCAGAAACAACAAAAGCGGAATTCTCTTCTTTTGTTATACTCATATAATAACACGTATCGGTGCTTTTCATTATATGCCGAGGTCCCGGATTAAGTAATATTGTATCTTCATAAAATTCAGGTAATTCAGCGGGCCGAACACCAACTAAAGCGACTCCATATCTGCAAAAACATGGAAATACCTTAATTGATCGATGCTTATTACCTACGGGCGGATTAATGTTTTGCATTTAGGAGCAAAGTGAGTGTGTTAGCATTTTTCAAATTTAAAATTGACTAGTATTCGAATAAACAATGACATTTAAATATATAATTGTTACCATAAATACCTTTAATCTAACAACCACAGGGTTATGAATAATTGAATAAAATTCGAACGAAATAGCGTACTAGTTGTGGGGATAATGTCTCTTATGTAAATTAGATGCCTCGATACGATGCGAATAGTTAACTTTGGGAAAAAATTAAAAAAAGGATATAATGAAAGAAAATGCTCGATCGAAAGATTTTACTTCTATATAAAAAATTGCACAGGCACTTTTTTGCTTAAATTATAATGGTGTGAATTATTGTATTATTGATTTGGATGCCATTATTATGTTTCTGATAGATAAAACACAAAATTTGTGTCTTCATAACCTTTCTAATATTTGCATACAACCACACTTATATAATAGTTATTATACACTACACATATAATAAGCGGTTAATTTGGTTTTCGATGTGTTCATTTTAAACCTGACAAATAATCTGATTCATCACAATGTTCTCTAGACGTCATTTTCATTTGAACTTGATAATTTAATTAGGCTGCGAAACACCTGGATTTCAGTTTCAAACAACGTTTGTTTGAACGATATTTTAAGGGATTTCGTTGATATCATTATTGCCTTGTAATATTTCATGTGGAGAGCAGTTATTATGGTCTTTAGCGTCCTAAGTGAGCATAAGTCTAAAAAGGATGAGGAAATCTATTAATATGGTCAAACGTTTCTGCATATTTTAAAATAAAACACGCTAAATACGTCGTATTTATTCACCAACAATATTTAATCACACGCTTCCAAAATAAATAAAATATATTCAACTTACTTTACAGATTGAAAAGTTACACGATTCCAGAGACTTTGTAATCCGCATTATTCGAGAGTGGCGTCTTCAATTTATATTTTATTTATTACGAAGAACATATTTGATTTTCGCATTTACCACTTACTTATTAGCGACTTCGCAGTGAACTGCCCAGAAATAGGCTGCGATAATTTTGTGTTTAAAATTTTTTATATACCCATCGATATCGATGGATATACCTAAAAGTTTCTAGACCTCTATCCTCTCTATATAGGGCAACTATCTTACTTCTTCTTAATCAGTCCTCCTCCTCGCGTCATTTCCTCACTGCTGAGGGTTGTGACCATCATATTTCGACGGGATTTTACTTCTTGTAATGTCCCTCCAGCGCCTCTGAACATTGGTCACATGAAGGGCTTCGTGAAATGGGATCTCTAGTGTCTTAATCAATCTATCAAGTAGAAATTAATCAATAACCATTTAAAAATACTTACTTTCGGTGTGAGTGAAAACTAGCGTAAGTAAAACTTTTTCCTTCATATTCTCCGAAAAATCTGCTGTCTCCCAGAACGATGTGGTATATTTCATTTCCTGAACATTTTCCATAAAGGCGGTGCCATTCTTCAGGCGATTGTTGTCCTTCTCTAAAACAGTCATTTCGAAATACAAGGTGGGCCAAAAGAAATTACCCTATTGGAAGATGCTCTTATTTTTGCAATTGGCCGCCAACGTCAAATCTGTTTTGACATTTGTAGACTAGACAGGTGTAGAATACAAGTGAACGAACCATGGAGCTGTACACTCCCCAAGAACGCAGAATAATCGTGTAAATTTTTTTTCGTAACAATTCGTGCCTCGCAATTAGCCATCAGCCGGTCGTCCCTAAGGCGAATTTTGGTCAAACACCTACGCATGTTCCTGTACAAAGTCCAGTCCGTGCATCAGCTGCTGGTTGTCGACCGCCAAACGCGTGTAGCCTACGCCCAAGCCATCCTCAATCTCGAGGACGAAGTGGACGATTTTTCGTCCTAAAGCATATTGAGCGATGAGGCTCATTTCCACCTCAGCGGGTACGTAAACAAGCAGAACTATCGCTTCTGGGGCACAGAAAATCCACGAGTGATGCACGAGAAGCCATTACACCGGCTCAAAGTAACTGCATGGAGCGCTGTTTACGCTGTAGAAGTCATCGTGGATTTTTTTTTCGAGAACGCCGTTGGTCAAACGATTACAATGGACGGTGCGTGTTATAGGGTCAACTAGGACTGGAAGACATGTAGTTCCAACAGGATGGAGCAATGGCACACACTTTTATTACCGCTATCGGCGTTTCGCATCAAAACAATATCTAGACACCAAAATTCTAAGAGGTCAAATATTTTTTTGTTGAATCTCGTGACATTTGCGCAATAGAACGCCACAAAACTTTAAAGTAAATTAAAAATACCAAAAGAAAATTGTAAGAACAATAAGTTATTGAAGATAACTATCGGTCGTACAAAATCTCTTCATCATCATTTTTACCCCCTAACAACCGAAACTTGAACATGGTTCATCCCTAATATACGGAACCACTGCATTGACTGTACAGTGCGTTTCTAGGAATAAATTTTTCAAGTAATATCGGGCTCCTGAGTGCAGTTCCTTCCGTGTATCCTGAGTGATATCCCTCTTTGAAACAAAATTTGAAGTGTTTTCAGCGTTCCTGTACCCCTAGCTACACTTGATGCTCATGAACGATGGTGATCACTTACACTCGTGTGCCAAGGCAATATTGCCAAATTTCTTGGCAGAATAAAGATTAAAAGTTAATAATCTTCACTCCCTAGATTTTTTTATCGATGAGCTCTAATTGTAAGATTTCTTGTAGGTAGGTTCAGGTTGTTAATAGAATTAGAGCTAATTGAATTTATCTTAAAGGCTCGTTCGTGACTAAAATGATAACTGATGATCTACGATAGCAGCTAAGTATCTTATTTAAAGTTTCTTTTAAACTTGTTCTATATTTATATTTGCGTGTAACTTACTGTCCTCTGCTTGTGTGAAGCAGGAGAGTTACTAAAGTTGACGCTCCTGGACAGGTACAGTTGTTAGCCAACAAAGCATACTTAAATTCATCTTCACATACCACGAATTCAGCAAATTTTACATGTAGCTTATTTTCTGGTCTAAATATTTGTACATATTGTGCAACTTTTGGTGCGAAATCTTTAACGGCCCATGATCTGTGTATAAAAAACATTAAAGGTTTTAATAAAAATTTGTAGCAAAACAAACAAAAAGTAGTGTAAGTTTTAAATACGTTTTTGTAACAAAAAATTGTTTCTGTCCGCAGAATTTGAACACTAGATATTCACATCGCTTTATACACAAGTAAACCGGTGTATTAACCTTTAGAGCACGAAGACTATATAATTTGTTCGTTTAAAATGCTATATATGTTTGTTTAGGTTTACCTTTTGAACTGTAAACCAAAAACTGTAAAGAAGATGTATTTATTGTGTATGTGTTCTTGTTGATTTCTTTGAATTCCGAGGTACTTCAAATTGTAAATATAGGTTTGAAGAGATTTTTTTTTGTAAATTTACCATTTTTATTTACCAAATTTACAATTTACCAAATGTATCTACATAAATGTATGGTTAGAACAGGATCTAGTGTAGTACTTTGGTCTTAATGCATTATGCATGTGTGTTTCATAAGTTTTCCAAACGCGCTCCAATGCTGCGATATTCGGGTCTGCTTTATTTATGATGCCTTTATCAAAAAGACAATCCAATTCTTTTCTAATTTGTGTGTTCTTTTTTAATTTTTTTGATTTGTGTGACTTACTATAAAATTAGAATTGGCCAATGTTGACTAACCAGTTGAGTTAAAGTTGTCCATCGGTTCAGTGTTAAAATTTTGTCACATAATAACAATGAAATATTTTATATATTTTACAATTTTATACTTAGCACGCCAATTAGCAATACTTACCGTAAAATTGTATGTTCGTCTGCAGCGGTTTTGTCGGCATAATTTCTGGCGGCCAAGATGAAACAGGCTTCAGCTTCGTTCATACGAGCTCTAATCAAATCCGTATCTTTTAGGCATGAGCCTTGAATGTAAATTACACGTTGAGCCCAAATCGGTACCTGTTCATAAGGTTAATTATTAAACGTTTAGCACTTTTTAATTAGATTTCTTTGTTCTACTAACATTCCTCTAACTTTCCTTGGAACTTTACACAACACACAACGGTGACATTACAATTTTACCTAATTAATTTAACAGATAATGCAAGTAATGATTGAATAATACAAATTATCGCTTTCAGCAAACTCACTAAAATGTATTATTCTTTCTCTTCTCGTAAGCATACTTTTGTGTAATTTGGTGGCGTGAATTGTAAGCCCCCCTAGAAGTTACCAATGAAATACCTACCTATTTCATGCGTTTTAGTTTAAAGGGTTGAACAAGCGGTTACACGATTTCAAATCATCAATCAATATATGTATATATCGATCAGCGCCATCAATAACCATCAATAATCTACCAGTGTCAGAAAGTAAGAGTAACACTTTATTGTTATTCGTTGGTCTAAAAACTTAAATTAATGTTTTTAAAACAGATTTGAAGTGCAACTTCATGATGGTTTTTAAAACTAAAACGCATATCGGTTGCCGTAAATTCGTAATATTTTAAGAAACATAAAAACCTTACTGTGAACGTATGCCGCATGGTACCTTACTTTGGAATAATTTCAAAAATATATAGTTGAATTATAATAGAAATATATTAGCTACCTGCAGAATCATACGCATAGTAGTATCGAGTTCCATCGGCGACAGCAATACAACATAATAGTCTTGAAGTAGTGGATGTGCGTAGAATTCGTTCAAGAAGTCCATGATAGTGTCGGCATGTAAAGTTGTTGAACATACTACTACATGTTTTTCAGACTGTGCTCGGTGAGAAGAATATGATCCTCCCAATTTCTGTCTTTCCATCCAAGTAAAGGCCAATTGTTCAAACTGTAACGTTTTAAGCTAAAAAGTTACTCTAACAAATACTAAACTCGATCACCAGGGTTTTCCCTTAAGTTTATTAAGGATCACTCACAGCAAGTTAAAATTGCCTTGTTCCGTGACCAGATTATTGTTGAACTTAATTAGATTTCAAGTGAACTTGGATCTCATTGTTTAAAAACACCTTTATAGTAAATGTGTCACTAAATTGAAAAGTATTAAAAATATTTATTTCTATTCTAATAATAATATCTAATAACTTATTTTTTATTTATGGTTTACCATTATTCTAATATTGGAAGCGCTTTCATCGTAGGAAATAATCTAAAATAATACGGTTTTATTGAAACGCTTTCTGTGAGATAACACTTAATGTTGTTGATTCAGGTTTGGTCGCTAATCCTTCCGACTTCAGTGAACCCTTCGCTTCGATGGAAGCCAGTTTCACATATATCGCACAATCCCTCGATGCGGTGATCTTGTATATATATACGTAAAAGAATTGAAACCGAACATGAACAAAAATTGTGACTAATAGATTAGACAGTTGACAAACTTCACCAAATTAGCTTCGGAAAAAAATCAGTGAATGGAGAAAGAGGGCAAAAATATTGTCTTAGTAGTAGCTAAAATATTCTATGATCAACGCGTCCTAAATGTAACACACCAACCACTTAGGTCCTCGTTAGATGTAAAAATCAATACATCAATTCGAATTGAAAATGTAATGATTCCATTTTTGTTGAATTGAAAATTTGTTTGCTGCTTCTGCTTCATTTCAAGAAGTTTATTAAAATTTAAATAATTAAAAATTTAATTACAATATAAATGTATATTTATCTCTAATTTACTAATTTTTTGTCTAAACCTATTAAACTTTAGCTTACTGCAAACTCATCGCTTATCATACTGAATCTGCTATGATTGTAATTTTTTTTGCAGTTTATTTAACATAGTTGCAAGTTTAATTTTCTTGTGCTTTTTCGTTACCTTAACTGTGCGGTCGACAAGTCCTTAATATTGGTGACCATCTCGAAAAGTGAATCTTAGTAAAAAACATTATACTGTACATTTATTTGAATGATAATAATATTGCCTTGATGGTTATTTTCTAAGAACCTTTAAACAACCACATCCAAAACATATTTCCAAACCCAATTCAAATATAAAAGATGAACATAAAAGAAAAACTAAATGAATAAAATTAAACTACACCCAGAAACTATTAACATTAGCATATATAGAAACTAATAACAATAAGCACTAATGGAATTCAATACAATTCAGATACCCAGCAGTCTACGTATTTCTCGATCTCATTTGCTTACTTGCTATTTTGATTATTTGCTCACTTGCGAGATAATTATCTAGAAAATATCGCTTTAAACAAGAAGGCTGCTTGTGCTTTTGTGTTCATATGACTTATTACCATATCAGTATGGATTAAATTATACTCTCTATATATATATATGAAGTAAATGAATGAATTAGTGTTTACTATTCTCAAAATATCACAAGCTTGGCTTGATAGCAAACGATATTTTTTAGTCGATAGGTCTCCCCCTTAACGCTATTACGTTAAGAAATTGGCATGTTAGATTCGTGTAATATACCAAGTGGTCTGGCTAGTTTAATATCTTAATTGACTTCAGTTTTATGAGGACGTTAATACCTGTGTTGGAAGAACAACCAGCGCAACTCCAATCATGACAACCATGAACAATTGAGAGGGCCATATGTCCGGAACAAAATCGCCATAGCCCACTGTTGAAAATGTCACTACGACAAAATAAGTGGCTTGGAAAAGATTAAGGTGTCGATGTCCAGCTCGTTGAAAGTGTTGAATACCGCAGACACTGAAATGTTTTAATCAAATCATACGACGAAACGATTTCACTTGGATATTGTAGATATTTAGGTGTACAATGACTAGCTTGGCCGGCTATAAAGCAGATTGGGTAATCGGCCCGAAATTCTTCGAGCTTTACTGCCAGCCATCGTAATATTTTAGCCACTTTATATAAACAAACCTAACTCTCCTTCGTATCTTGAGCGATGGTAGTAGTGCGATGTTGTAGCCTCACATTCCTCAATATAATACTGCTACCTACATGTGCCCTGGAGCTACCATGCCTTCCGATCTTGTGGTGTTCGGAACTACGGTAACGCTTAATACCAAATTCATACTAAAACCTTATGTGGTCGTAATAACCATGGAAGCATATCGAATGACACACAATTGATTAAAATAATTTTAATACAGAAACCTTTTCTAACGAAGTTGATGATTCATTTGAACTTAATGATCCTGATAATATACCTAATCGAGGGAAGAAAAGGAAGGATAATCTCTCTGGGCTTAAAGCACATGATATAAGATTAGATAGCTGACAGAATCATACTAAGTATCATTTAATCAGGCACTTACCTAGTAAAGACGAGACAGAGTAGCGTAACGCATAATATCATTAATTGTTGTGATAAAGCTGATTGCGACTTTTGCATAGCTCGATGTAAATCGTTCTGAAATTAATTACATAAGTGATCATATTATTATAATAATTACAGATCATTTACGTTTCGATAATATGTCTGAAATTCTGTTACTTACAAACATATTTTCAAGTGATCTTTTTGCAAGCCAACAATTCAGAAAGACCGGTATAAATAGATTTCGTAATGGAGGAAATGTCAGCTGTAAAGAAAAGATAATAAACAGCGATTTTCATTTACTAAAACGATAAGATGTTAAACGCAAGTCTTGCCACAGAACTTAGCAAACTGAATATATCGTTTCTAAATTCTGAAAATGATCTTGGCGGATTTAAGATTTATTTAATTAATGCAATAATATGGATAGAGTTTGAGAAATTTTCAGAAAAAATCTCAGGTAATTGTAAAACACACAAAATAATTCAAAACAAATTTACTGACATTTGTACACATCAAATACATACACAAAATAAAAAAGAACACCTAAATATTTCCAAAAATGACATCTAATCTAATTCTATTCCTAACTTTAATTATTGTTGAAAAGTTTTACGCAGTGTTTTCGATTGATAAGCTTATTTTTTCAAAAGAAACCTCATTTATCTTATGTAATATTTTGGAGACTCAGTAATATGATATGGTGTTTAGAACATGCCGTAAGAGTATCAAAGGCCATCTGTGACTTTTAACGTCCACAATTGAGTTTTTCCGAGTTTATCAAATTTTGATGTACAAACCTTTGAACGAACCCACAATAATTAATTAATTAAATAGCTACCTAATAATCATAAAATAGTTGATGTATGTTCTTGTGTATTTGACTCATTTAATAACTAGCTGCTACCAGCGGCTTCGCCTGCGTGGTCTAGAAAAAATGTCCGTGTAGTTTCCCGTGGGAATAAGATGTGTTTTCGGGATAAATGTAGCCTATATCACTACCTTCACCGAATACTATCACTTTAAAAAAATCTTATCAATTTGTTGCTTCGTTTCCATGTGAAAGAAAAACAAACAAACACCTAAATAGTTGGGTACGTAAATAGTAAGGAGTAAGTAGCTATAAGTAATGCCTGATAAGTAGGGACCTGTTGGAAGAAATTCATCTGATGTGTTAAGCTTGCTTTTGTATATATTTTTTTATCCATAATTTTTTTGGTTCATTTTTTCTGTGTACAATGAAGCGTAAATAAACTTAACTATTTAATAATCTAAATAACTTACGGTTAACGCAAAGGGTATAGTGTTCACCATTTCCAAGATGAAGTGGAATGATAACACTTGCTGCCAAATGTTGCCCTTTAAAAAATAACATTGTTTATAAACCTCATATTACAGAAATATTATTGTTAAAATTATTTAATACCTTATAGCCCAAGTAGGCAAGTAATAATGCTTCGGTGAAAGACACCAATGCCAGGAGTACTTGCACTATCCATAGATATAAAGGTCGGTTGACCCATATTATTGCGTCCCAATTAATTAACGGGTGCTCTTGGAACTCTTCTTCCGTCAAATTTGCAGAATGTTGGAAGTCAGTCTTGTTTCCAAGCTTACATCCATAACTGTAAAAATAAAATATTTGACATGTCTGTTTTATTCAATGTGTTATTTACACTTAAGATGCTGTTATAAATATATAATATAGCAGATTTGGTCTTTTTACGAATACCATATATGTAGTATTAAACCTCATTCAAATAATTAATCAAATAGTTGCTTTTCCAAACTACTTGAAAAAACAAACTAACTACATACTTATTTTATTTAAAACTAATCATCATATAGAACAATTGAACTTTAATACATTATGCAAATTAATAAAATAGATAAATGACAACAAACAGCTGACTTATAAAAATCGTTATGACATTAAAAGGCTTTTGAATGTTTTAATATAAATTAAAATATGCCTAAGCGATGTCTTCATTTTCATTGAGAATTATCTTATTTATGGAACCGATTACAGGCATGTCATTAAAATGGAAATTTTCTCAATTGCGCATTTGATTTTTAATATAAATGCAATTAAAACAAATTGATTCATAAAAAGCTTATTTTACCATCAATCTCGCTATTGCGCTGATATTTTTTTGTGAAAATGTTCAAGTAGTCGTGAACCTAAATGAAAAATATGTGCAGTAGACACTTATAAACAAACAAAACTTAGTTTGGTTGAAAATTAAATGAAGTTGCAGCAGTATATAAAGAGAAAATTCATTTATTTCAAAAACATTATATTGTTCAGAACTTAAATCAATCTACATTTAAGTTAAAACCCGCTACTCCTTATTATCCATTTACAAACTGATAAGGGTACATAGTAATGGTAACCTATAAGTTGTGAATCATAGAAATAAAAACTATTTACATAGAGATAAGATTATATGTATTTAAGTACGTACCAAGTCGCAGCTATAGGATCTCCTTCAGTACACACACGAAATATATACAGCACGCAGGTCAAAAGTTTGAAAAATAGATTCGCTATCCTAATGCGTAAACCTAGAATAGATGTACTTTTATTAGTGATAATATATAGACGTTAAAAATTAAGCAGTTACCGGTGGTGCCCATAGATCACTACCTCATCGTGCACAACCATGTCAAAAAAAATATATCCAAAATCGTCGTTACTATAAATATTATTCAATTGATCATCGTTTAATAATATAATAATAATAAATGTATATTTTGTATGTTAAGTGCCTAAGTGGAGCCTCTGGATATCATAATCTGCCCGCGAGCACCGAATTTGATATACGGGATCTAAGTCTCGATTAAATTGTGTAACGGTTGTTGGATCCTTCATAACAGGACGTACGAGTGCTTCTCGGCAGAAACAGTCAGGACTACCCGCACTCAAACTACACTCTACCCTGCCTAAATTAAACATTTCCAGATTACTCGTTATTTTTTAATCGAAAGAATCTTTTTTATTTATAATTTAATTTTTTTAGATTGATGTTTAGGAAAACCTGTCGTATATAGGCTATAATAATCCAGTACTTAGTGTTGGTTTCTTCTAGCTCTTCGAAGTGCTTACAGTCTCGCAGTGCTTACAGTCTCATTGATACCCCTAATCAAATAACCTTGAATTACGTTTCATTCTTCCTGTAATCCATTATAAGATCTCTCAAATTATCATTCAGGTTTGGTTTTCATAGCTTATCACTTAAATGCTCTGTGATGCTTAAGTACGCCATACCCACCCCGTAAGGTTGATTTAATCGTTTAGAAATGTATTGGACTCTTGGCTAGTCTGATTGATCCGTCTGGATAGATCTATAAAATCTTTAACTTTGAGTTATGTTGTTTCTGATTCTATTCAACCAAATACATACGTATGCCATGTTTTAAAAAAGTAAATAGGTATATTGAGGGCAATTCTGGTTTCAGTGTCGATGATTCTGATTTTTTTTATTTAAAATCATACCTTGATCATACTTAACTTTGTTAATTTACTAATGTATTGTTAGGCCTTATCATGTATATTTTTAGATGTTGTATATGCGAATAGAATGCATGCAAAGAACCATCCTTTTGTGTATCTAAGTTCCATGTCCAAGGTACTAATACTTAGATTATATTTCTAGGTATTGGCTGTATTATAGAAGATATTATATGTTAAAGCCTCAGTCGCTTGTGAAATATCGTTCTAGTTAAAAAGTAGAAATGCTTTACATGTAGTGAGAGCGTACTCTGATATCACGTAGTATATAGGACCCGGAGCATATAAAGTTTCCTTTGCCTACGTGGTTATAAACAAATTGTGAGTTCCTATTATTTTCTTTATATTTTGTTACATGGTAAACAGACAAAAATACATTCTGTTGGTTATGAAATTTGGAAAGCTAAGTCTATTTAGTACATCAAAGGCAGTGTTTTTACGTAACATAAATGTGACCTACTCTCAAATATAAACTTACTCGATCGTTGATTTTTAATAAAATATAATTGCAGTCTTTCCTTAAAAGTGTTCTCGTTGACGTAGAACTCCACCCTTACTCTGTAACAAAAAATCAAATTGAAATAAATACACAATTAAGGAAAGTTTAATAGTTTTGTTACTTAATTGAAAACTGGTCATATAACTATGATTAAAACAATTTTTACAAGTACCTAGTACAATCGTATTAGGACAATTAAGTTTGAGTCAATTTTGAAACTGTATTCATGTCTACGATTCATGAAAACTTATAACTATCCTGACTGATTTTACTGGAAGATCTATATTAAATGTAGTAAAATGCAATAACCGATCAACCTAAAAGAATACACAGGATTAAGACAAATCACAATGAAACCAATTAACAAATATCTTATCAGATTACAGCTTTATGCTGCCAAATCGATTATCTTTTTTTTCTCTTTCGTTTTCAGTATCTCCACAAGTGATATGTGGTCATAATCTGAAAACCACGTTTTGGTTTTCTCTAATCTCCTCAAAAATAGTATGCTGAGTAGCCTGAGTCTGAAACCTGTCTTTTTTTTCTTTCTTTTTTCTACCTATACTGATAGCCTTGAGAAGCTATTTCAGCTTCGCCTTGATGGGCAGGTGAGCTCACGGGGCTCAAACCGGGGTCTTGCTAACACTGGCCCTAGAAAGAGCACTGCTTCGGAGAATCTACCACGGGATCGGAAACGCCTCAGGGATTTCTCTGAAAAGATTCTGCCAGAATCCCAGTTCGGCTTCCGACCAGACGGTAGTGCTTGTGAACCAATTTTCTCATTGCGTCAATTGTAAGAAAAAAACAAAGAGAACAGAGTCGTAATATGTATCTGTTTTTTCTATTGAAAATGCGACCCACTGAGAAGATCCGGCGAGAAACTCAGTGGGCTGTGTCTATGGGTTAATTTACTCGTCGAGCCTTCATCGCAAGCGACGGGTTCGGCGAGGACGATGACCGGTGCTTGAGGTACCTAAAAGCGCCGTTAATGGACGTGTTTTGGGCGACGTCGACTATTTACTGTAGCCTGTCGACTGCCCTTCCTCTCACTGCAAATAGCGCCGCTTCATCATGGTATGATATATAAAATGGCATAAATTCGAAACTATGTACTTGTTTTAAAACTTTAATTGAACCGACAAAAACTTATCAATGACTATGGTAGATAAATTGAAGTCTTTGAATTCAGATAAGATTAAGCCGTGCAAATCTTGTGTCTTATTAATGATCTTTTATTTTATTTAGCTATCTTTTATTTAGCTATTTAATATAAGTTGTTTTCGAGAGTCAGCCGAACAATATGGTTTCTGGCCTTAGTATGAATATGGACAAAACGAAAATTGTATCGAATGTCAATGTAGTGTCCACTTCAGTAAAAGTCGAAAGCGTTAAGCTTGGAGCTGTGGACGAGTACGTCTAGCTGAGACAATTTGTCCAACTAGATAGGTCCAACCTATTTCACTACAGCTAATTTTTCGTTATTCATTTTGAAGAAGTCAGGTTTTTTGGCTCCCATACGCTAAAAAACTTTAAAGTCATTTTTACTGCCTCTCGGGTATTGAATTTTGCTCTAACAAGAACTCTGTTAGAGCAAAAGTCAGAAAAATTAGAAGTCTATCGGTGCAAGGTCACCGGCACTAGCTTACAAAAACAGTGACCATACCTTTCTTAGGTACGTATTCTGTTGGGGGATTGTCTCGGTTCTGAATCAGTTTTAAGCCAAGACGATGACCGCTTACTATTATCAACAATTGTATATTTTTTATTAAGTGACAACGCGGTTCAAAATCTCTTCGTTATTGTGTATGTTAAGCAACATAAGGCATGCATTAAGGCTTAGGTCGCGCCGGCGATCGTTCAGTTCGTGTGGCACACGCTTATCGAGTTTTTACCTTGCCAATTTAAAGTAAACGGACCAGTATTGTTTTCATGCTAACGTTAAAAGCCGCTGCTATCTCAGCGGTAGCTTGAGAATTGTTAGCTTCCACTATCGCTTTCAATTCTTCGTTGTTAACTTTATTTTTCGGCAACCATGGGGTCCGTTTTATAATTTCAATAACGAGTCGTGCGTTCGCTTGACGTTTTATTATTTTGAGATAATTGCTTATTTATGGGAATATCCAGTAAGGTTATAAATAACATACAATTAATGTATTTGCATCTTTCTTTATGAAGTACGAATATGAAATGAATATGAAATTATTACATTCAATGCCTTATATTTCCTGATGGATGTGGATTTCTTAATGAAGCTTGATATTGATTTCCTTACAAATGTTTTCAGTCTGACAGGACTTCTGACATCTCTAAATTTAGACATATTTGCATATTATATCAGCATTTCTTACGTTGAGTAAAACATTTAAAAGCATGTGGAACAAGCTTAAGTAATTTTAATGCGAATAACCTGCTTTATAGCAAACACTGAATTTCCCTAGGATCGTTGAATAATTGATGCCTTATTAGAAATATTTTTCAGGATTCGAAAGAGTTTCATGATGACTTCAGATTATTTTGGGATTTATCCAAAGCCATTTTCCAATCCCATTGAGCGTAATACATTGATGATAATGATGATAATAATTACACTATTATGGTATTAAGAAGTTTCTTCTATGGATTCTCTAGGCAAAGAAAATATATTTTCTGCTGTCACAATATACATGGATGGGTATTCCACAAAGTTCAATTTTGGACCTTTTCTATAAAATATGTACTTAAAATCGTCAAGATGAAGAATGGTAAAAGAGAAATGAAGACAGTGTGTCACTGACTTGCAAGTAGTTGAGTGTTAATAATGTAAAATGAAATAATATTTAATAATGTGAATTAAAATAACAAGGAAATAAAATGTACAAATTTACAATAACGTTAAAACGTTTAGTAGGGTTCTCAAATAAATTAAAGAGTAGACCTGCAGAATACGCAGTATAAACACGAACTTATATAAACGAGGGCGCTTTGGTGTATTTTAACTACTCCCATAATGTTGCATCCTGCAGTGTCTTCTTTAACGCAATGCTACCGATGTTGAATCGATTTTCATTCTATAGAAAATATCTCTACTCGTGCGCTTTATAGTTTACACCCGACGTAAGACGACTTGTATAAAAACATTAAAATCTTATTTAGCACGCTAACATATTTTTGAGAATTTAAAATATGTACGAAAAAAGTTTGATGAATTCCCCAGGATTTCTTATTTGCATATTATAAATATAATATTAGGAACAATAATCAATTAAATTTATGGGAATAATATTCTTTAGAAACTTAGGTTTGCTTTACCAATGGCTGAAGTACTCTTTTAAGGGCTTTGTGTGCGCTTTACAACAACATCTGACAAAATGTATTGTACAATTATTATCACTCTGTGTAGGCTTAAGAAAACTTTCAAAATATGTTTGTTCAGTAAATTATGTTCCTAGAAAAAAGGATAGCGTTATAAAGGATCGTAAGGTGATCACTAATAAATATTTTTAACGGCGATTTTTAAAATAGTGCTATTTTTTGTATCTATGGATTATTGAATAATTTTGAAATGGAATAATTATCGTGATATTTAATCAAGAAGACTACAGTTTTGTTCTTAGTTTATTTTCGATATGAACTAATAAAGCTTCACTGACCAATCCATTATCAATCAAAAAATTAGAACGTAACATAAGTTTAGATTCAATCGATAAAATAGTTCCAAGTCCACACTAGTTTCATTTCTAAACTTATATTTTATTCACATCAATATAACTCTACAGTTAGTATGCTGTACAGTTTGTTCATTATAATACATATTATTATATGAAGTTAAAAGTAAAATAACATCATTACTGTTCTCTTTCATAACGTTCATTTTTAAATGGATATTTGTATAATAATAACAATAACAATAGATAACAACACATCTAGACCTGAAATTAAATCACTACGTTAAGTTCTAAAGCTAGAGCAGTATAGAACATAGTTTTCCGTAAAGAGTACCATCAAATATATACGATTTGGCACAGTCGTCAAGCTTAATTTTTACCCCCTTTAATAAAAGCAACCTTTAAGACAATACGATATGGAATCAGATGTTGTTTGAATATAAAATTGTTAATATACTTTCTAAAACAATTTCATTATATGTCCACTGCTCGATATAGGTCTTTCCCAATCCACACCTCTGAGCCCGGTCTTCGGCTTTCCTCCTGTCTTGCCTTAACTTTTACTCTTGGCTCTTTAATTCATAACCAGTAAGGACGCACGGGTTAAAAACTTTCATTTTCAGGCACTGTGGGATGTGCCACAAAAAGACTCCACGAATTTTGCCAAACGCTGCCCAGTCCAGCTGGATCCTCCCCTTAGCTTCCCTCTCCAAGTTGTTTTTACCCATCTGCAAGTCTGCCCGAGGTATAAATATTCTTAAACAGCTTCAAGCGGAAAACCCTTCACGACGACCGGATCCCGCGGCTAATGTAACCATAGAACATGACTCAAATTAAAGTCATGTTCTATGGTTACATTATAAGTCTCCATAATAAAAAAAAAACTGTCCACTGAGATTATTTAGAGATACTTTTCAGTAGTGTGAAAATTAAGAAAAAACCAATAAAATTGTTATTTTATCATTTTAGGATTTGAAAATCTAGATTTTAGTGTAGATGTTTATAAAAATAAAATGCAAATCATAGAATCAAAAACTGATGGAATAAAAGAAACACCAAAAGAAAAAACAATTACTCCCTACGGCTATAGTACTGGAAATAATGACGTCAGGCTGCCGGCCTGTCGTAAAACTGATGTCAAATTCCTATGCAACATGATAAGATGACACACTGCGCCGACCACGCTACGAATGCGAATATAACAATAATAATAATGTCGTTAACGAAGAAAGTTTATATTATTTTAAAATTACGATACGATTTTGATATCCAATAGTCTAGACTATTTATCATTCCTATGTGGATATGGTGTTAGAGGCGTTTATAGGTCATTAAACAATTTACCCCTACCACAATCTATAAAACGGGTCAACACCAAATTTGACTTTGATTGCAAAGCATAAAATTTCGATATT